ACACACACACACACACACACACACACACACACACACACACACACACAGGCTTTGGTTGATCCATCCAGAGTGTTTTTCATTTTGCTGCTGTTCAAACATCCTCTCAGGACTCCGCTCAGCTCTTTACGCAGCAGAGAAGCTCTTTCAGTTTCACAATGGACCGGCTGAGCAAAGCGTGTGGGAGTATCACATTTCACCGCTGACACTGTTCAAGATGGAGCTCCTGCTCTATTACATCATCTCACGCAGCGTTCTCTCAGATGAGCATGAAACGGCCACAAAGGCTGCAGATGTGTGTGTGCTCGAGTGCTACGCTTTGCCAGTAAACATGAGACCCGATGCTGACTTGTCGTTTTTCGATCCTAAGTAGAATGCAATATTGTATCCAACACCAGATGCATTTTACATCGCCTGAAGTCCTCCAAGTTTATAACAATCATACCTCTACTATGAATCGGTCATGCACAAATCAATAATCCACAAATGGCATCAACTGCTGGGAAGGCAGTGTAATAATAGCAACTGCAGGATTGTGGGTGTTTCATGTAGGAGGTGTGCTCTTCCTCTCTCTCTCTCTCTCTCTCTCTCTCTCTCTCTCTCTCTCTCTCTCTGCCGCTTTAAGCTCCCATGTCTGTGAAGGACGTGCTGCAGAGCCTGGTGGACGACAACATGGTGGACTGTGAACGAGTGGGAACGTCTAACTACTACTGGGCCTTTCCCAGCAAGGCTCTGCACGCTCGCAAGCACAAACTGGAGGCGCTGCAAACACAGGTGACAAACTCCAGCTGCAGATGTTGCCAAAGAAAACACGCTCGATGCAGATCGCGTTGCTCTGAACAGCCCGTGATGTACAGCATCTCTCCAGAGCTGACGATGAATTTTTATGAAAGACAGAGTTAAGCAGATTTTCACCAAAGGCTGCGTTTTCTCTTTCTGTTCTGACACGGCTCGCTGTAGTTTACAGTAAATGAGGTCAGCACGAATCTGAGAGGGCTTCTGGTAATAGAAAGCCAAGAGAAGAATGAGAAGTGCTACTGGTTCAACTATAGATGTACTTTTCATTTGATTTTCACATTTTGAATATTCAAAATAAACGGAGACATTCCCAAATACAAAAACAAAACAGTGATCCCTATTTCTAACTTGCAACTGAGACACTTGTCGTGTTGTGAGAGATGAGTTGACACAGAGAGAGACGCTGCTCTCGGTGGCAGACAGATGGTGAGAGGGCGGCGACTCCTCAGAGAGCCACGGCCACCGGACTTCTGGGACAGAAGCTAAATGATGTAGAGCAGCGATCTGATGTGTGACAAATACCAAACGCATTACAATATACAGTCATAGTGGACGAGCCACAGCAGATGATCATCGGATGAACCGTAGAGTCCTCAGGTGGAATGTGACGGTTGACATTATATCACCTGTTAACACCGCAAAGTAGATCTGAATCAATGAATGTTATTACTTTCGGTCTGTTGGCTCTATAGATGTAATTTACAAACAAATGACACAGCTTCCTTTCTTTCTGACATATTAATCATAGAGCATGCTTTAACGGTACATTTTACTGCACTGTAACTGGCTTTTAATGTCAATAAACCGATAACCTCTAATGAACCGGTGAGCAGTCGTGAGCAATTAAGATTTTAAGGTTGCATAAAGCAGTTCTAAGCTTTAAAAGCAAGATGGCTTCTGCTCTCTGGTCAGGAGATTATTAGTTGTCAGTAACTGTAACACTTTTACCTTCAAACATTGCATTATGGGAGAATACAGGAAAGCCTCTATTTGCTACATTTTGACTGATGTAAGACTCGTTTACTTTAAAGATTTCTGAAGCGAAGCAGCGGAAGTTGTCCGTGCAGAAAGCGGTTGAAAAAGCGACAGTGGGACGTCAAGATACAGTAAGAATATTTCCCACATGCTTCCACACCTCGAACATTAAGTTATAAAACATAAAAATGACAAATCCATGTTAATTACACCGATAAAATGCGTAGATGATCTGTGTCTGTGTGTAGAAGGAGAGAAGCTCTCAGCTGAAGGAGTTGCAGGCTCTGAGAGAGGAGCGAACTCAGCTGAAGGCCGAGGTGGAGAAGTACAGAGAATGTGACCCCGAGGTCATCGAGGACATGAGTAAGTACAGATACAACATCAAAGTCACCTGTGATCACTGACCAAAGACGCCTAGCTCTGATTAGTCTCGTGCATATCTAACGAGGTGGAATCAATTGATGCCGCTGGACCTACAAGCTTGTTCTGTAACATGTGTTTTGTTTGAGGCTTTGACAGTCGATAGAGTCAGCTGACGGTAAGCTTGTAGTTTGGGACTGTAGCTGAATGCTTAGAGTGGTAGACTCGTCAATGAAAAAGATGGAGTCCGGACTCCAACATCAGGTGGCTCACAAAGGCAGATGGTGACATCTCCTATTCAGAGGAAAGAGTTGCGCAACGGCCAAGAAACAAACAATCTTGAGCGTGACTCAAGCTACCCTGAATGTGTGGTTTCACACCCGATAATGAATACAGAGTTGTGCATTAGGAGCTGGTCTATTTCAGTGAAGCCTCCCACAAACTGTCAAATATAGGAGTGATAAAAATAAGACGTGGGTACAAGGCCGACATTAACGTTCTTCTTTTTAAATAAAGTATGCAGCACATTAATCATCCAACACTGGCATGCATGTACTCAAGGGACATGAATGGAAAGGATACCAGGAAAACCTCCCAAGAACCAGTAAAACAGTGAACATGGCCACCAATCAAAATCACCTTCTCATAGTGCTAAAAAAGAAACATAAGCAGGATGTGGGAAATAGCCTCAAAGTCCTTCCTCATATGTTATCTTGGATGTTTAGACGGCTCTAAATAAGGTGCAATAAAGAGATGCCGGGGTCCAATTCCTTTAGCTAAAAACATGTGACTACACACATATAATGTAGTATCATCATGTGAATGCAAAATGAGAACATAGTTCATTTGTGTCTCACAGGTTGTGACATGATTTTCGTGAGTCCTCGTTTCTGACGGTTCAAATCAAATGGAGGAAGTGCAAACTTTATCGCAAGTGGTCACTGGAGATGCATTTAAGCGCGCTGCTGTGTCAGTTTTTAAACTGGCGGCTTGAACCACACACTGGTTACATGTTGATAGAAGGCGGTACGTGTGAACAGCGCGAGCCTTCCTGCTGACACACAGACACGGTTCTTTTTTTGTGCTCTTTAACTCGCATGTCAGTTTTAATTGCGGTCTAAATTAACCGTGCAACCTCTGACCTCTCAGCTTCAAGGGTTTTGAGTTTTAAAGTTTATAAAAAGACGACGGCAAGGCCACTGGCCATCACTTATTGACACGCCTCTTCTTCGGTATGCGCACACAACGCCCCACAGCTAGGAGAGGTATCACAACAATCCTGTAGTTCATGTGACAGCTGACCTTTGTGTACACATGTGACATGTGTGGTGTCATAAAACAATATTACCTGCACCTCCTAATGTTACACCAGGTATGCATTTAGCCTGTACACACTTCTGCTGTTATCGTCCACTCCAACATAACGTGAATATTGTTTGTCTCCTGACAATCACGGCAACATGAAGGTAATAATTCCTGTCGTCCAAGTCAGATATTTGGGCTTTGTGAAATAAGTTGAAATAAAGTTTAATTTTGTGGCTCAGGTAGGCAAAGTTAAGATAAATGTTACAGGTAATTTACATGGTAAAATAAGTCTATGAAGACTCCTCTATAGTCCACTATGTACTGTAAGTACTACACTGAAGGCAGCTGGACTTAAGGATCCAGTATATTGAGCATTTGTCCCGGTACATCTATATTATTATGGCCAAAATCTCTCATAGAATTTAGCCATAAAACGTCTTGACTTTGATTTAGGTGTAGATGGAAAGTGAACTACAGCTGCTGCCACATGTGTAGCGACTAAATATTCTCTACACAGTATGGTCGATATGTAAAAAATGTTTTGTGTTTTTTAGCTCGGTGCCAAAACACCAGAGAAATGACTTCATGATCACATTGTCAGACCCTCTGCTGTAACTCTGGTGCCTGTGATCAACCTATTCACTGCAACAGCTGTTGGATTCCAAAGTCCAACCCCAGGAGAATTGGGGGGGGGGGGTGTTCCACTGCTATCTCAACAGAAAAACATTTTATTACCTTCTTAAATTTAGATAACCCCTTTAAATTATAATAATAATGCATTTTAATTAAAGGTGCCTTTCAAAGCACTCAAGGACACCTTACAGGCACAGTGTATCAAGACATTGAAATATCAAACAGTGATGCATAATAACACGTTAACCCAATAGCCGGGTAGGCAATCCTCATCAGTGCTAAACTCCATGTGGTCGTAGCCATTGCAGACGGAGTCGGTACGAGTCACGCTCGCTCCTACGAGTGACTTAAGTTGGATTCATCAGGTTTAAAATGTTTGACGATGGCTACTACTCCCATCGATACCAACAAGCTGGTGATGGTGGTACGGTGGAGTTAAAAAAAACACTCAGCCACAGGCATGTGCACGGCAGGTATGACACTATGTGAGGAAGCATTTAGAATTCTTACATGACTTGTTTACCAAAGGAAACATTGTTTGCGATCGTCTTTCCTTTCCTTCCTTTCTGATGCTTCCTTTGTGATGTATGGGTTGTAGTGAACCACCATGTGTTACACGGTGGCGTTATTTATCAGTAGATGTGTACTACAGTATTTTTTGCATGATATTTATTATGTTGTCTGTATTGATTTTATAGGATTATGTAAACGGTTGCTCTTTCAACATCTGGCCACGGACACCAGATTATAAAATGAGTCATCTCGACTTACGAAGGCCCATGATCAGAAGATATTTAACTCCCTCCCACCTGCAGCTGCTATCTATCAATGTGTGTTTTCATTGTTTACGTTCTCAATAAGTGCTGAAATGACCGAGAGTCAATTACATAATCACTGATCATGTCCTTGGACCAGAGCGCTCTTTGTTTTTATTTTTTTTGAGTGAGAAATCTGCCAAACCTGCTGTAAATAGATTTTAGGACGCGGCGGCCCAGTGTTTGTCGCAAAGCAGCCAAATAACTGTCCGTTGATCAACGTTATTTCCTTTTTTGTTCCAGGTGCTTAGCAACTTGTTTGTTTGTTACCTGCTGTTGTTCTAGGGTCACTTTAATCACTTGAGAGCGATCCAGTCAGAGCGCGTTGTTCGGCTCTCTGTGAGGTTTCTCGATGGGCTCTTTGTAAACTGTCCACTTGAGTTTAACAGTAAACATGTTCATCCAGTGTGGCTGTAGCTACCCAACCATCACGTCACTTCCCTCCATAAAGGATATTGTTTGCTGCTTCATTTACGTCCACTCTCCCCGTGTGTTTTCTGTCCCGTGTTCAGTTTACTACACAAGAACATATTTTCTTCTCTGAGGTCATCAGACTGTCAGCTGGGCTTTCACATTAAGTGCTTATTTGTTTGGCCTTTTTTTACATTCGCACAGCATGCAGGTCTTCTTTCATAAACACGCACATGCTGTAGATTTGCCATACAAGATGGACGTTGACGCTCTGTTTCTCTCATCTGTAACACGACTCTTTTCAGTCTTTACACACACGGCGGAATTTAGTGCAACTCATTTTACTGTTCATCTTTTGAAAGGGCTTCGTTGTCCGGTAGGAGTCTTTAAGCTTTAATCACAGACCTGAGTCGATGCCTTAATCTAAACCTGACCGTACGTTTACCTGATCAAATGAAAGAAACCATAACATTTTAATTGTAGTCTTTTTCCGTCCATTGGTGTAAATCATATTTCACTCTTGCAAAGTGAACACACAGACTGTATAATGCACATATTGATCATACGTTTTGTTTTGCAGGAAAGTCAAATGTTGCAGCAAAAGAAGCCGTTTCCAGGTGGACAGGTGAGTCCTCTTATCTTTGTAATGCACTTTCAATGAGTCTGCAATCGAGTGCCAACAATTAATCAATCATTTGATCGGCAACTATTACCGGTTAATCATTTAAATCCTTTCTCATGCAAAACATTTGATGGTTTCAGCTTCTCAAATGTGAGAATTTGCTAGTGTTATTGAATAATTTGAGATTTTGGACTGTCGTAAAGACAACAGAAGACATTTGATATTATCAATATATATTTATTTTTTACTGTTACCTGTTGTTTTATAGACCAAACAGTTGATTAATCAAGAAACTATTCAGGCAGATTAAACAATGATTACTAGTGCTGCAACTAATCTGCAGATTATTTGTTCCATTAAGCAATTAATAAACGGCAACAATATGACGTTTTCAGATTCCTTCATAGATATTCAGTTTAGTATTACAAATGACAAACAAACCCATCAAATCGTCACATTTGATAAGCTGGAACCAGTGAACATTTAAGATGTTTGCTTTCGAACGAACCTCAAACAATTAGTTTTCTGTGGATGGACTAATTGATTAATGATCTTTGCAGCTCTGATCAATAGTTGCAGGCTTGTTGCCTCTGAATATTCAGCGCTGGCAGGTCTTATTGCATCCATTACTCTTTAAAGCACTCAAGCTGTAAGGGCACTCAGGTGTCCAAAATGTCACCTCCCTGCAACACGCGGGCACCCCGTGTGCATTCATTGACCTGAGCGGCAACCTTAAAGACAACTGACCTTTTGGGGATCATGGTAACCAGCCGGGCCTGTGGTGTTTTGACTCTTTAGGGTCAACCCTGCCTCTAACTGCTCCACAAAGTCATGCTGTCAGTTTCCGTTGGCACGTGTTTGCTTCACTTCCATAGAATTATCCTCATTTAAAGAAAGTATGAGTCATTTCTGCCTCTTCCATGAGTTGTAATTCCCTCGTCTAAGGGTGAACAGGACTTCACAAATACAAGAAGTGTTTCCTAACAGCACCTTGTACAACAGCTGTCGTAGAACAAGTACAATGTGTACTTCTTTTAGTAGAAGCTGTAATGTCCTCAGCTGTCACTTACCACTAAAAGCACAATGTCATCCGCTGTGTGTCAATCAGCTGCATTTTTTAACACACTGGTGCATTCTCACCAAAATCAACACAGCAAAGCTTAATCTTCTGTTCATGTTGGAGGAAGTGGCTTTGTGTGATTTCATATAAAACATTAAACATGCACAGCTATAATTGCTATGTAGCTGGTGTTATTTCAGCTTCTGCAGGCTTCGAGTCACAGCCCCACTAAACGTATTGAACCGCCTGTGGCTGCAACTTTAAAAATTGAAGTTGGGCGGCTTTAACCTGACGCCTCGTCGCACTGAGACACACCCACACCCACACAGACAGGCTCACACACACAAGCACCCACACAGTTAATCACTTGCACTTGAACTGCATTTTGTCATATCAAAGCTGGATTACAGTGATCCAACAGGACTCAAGTGAAAGGCATTACTAATAGCGTAATTCAGAGTCTATTGACTTAAGATCTTGATAAGACTCGTGCTAACCTACAGGAAGCTTTTTGATTTATTCTTTAAACGAGTGACGCGTCCACAGCTTTCCGCTTGTCTCCTGATTCTCCACTCGTGGCAGAGAAACTCGTGTTAGATCGTAAAACAAAGCGTTATTTCTGATTACAGCCATGATGAAGGTTATCTAGGCTACTTGTAGACTTGATAGACTGAAATATGAGATTGGTTATGTACTTAATACACTGTGTTTTGAAGTTTTATGCTTGTATGACTCGACTTATATCGGATACATCGAGGTAAATTCACCATCATACATCATCAAATTCAACAAATATTGTACTCTAAATGATCTGCTTTGTACACACTTCATACAGTGTATCAGGAAAGAGCCGTCGCTGATTACATGCATTTATCATCAAGGATATTGGTTGAATCAAAGAAACTGAAGAAATGAATAAAGAAAGAAAATGAAACTACAATTAAGTCTCAAACAGGAATCTTTCTCAACACACAACAGTTCAGTTTCTCTTTTGACAGATCTACGGCATCAAGTCTGCACTGAGCACGATGTTAATGCAAACTACTGGTGCACTTTGCTTTGGTATCCAATGCCCCCGATCTCGTTAAGGCCTTCGACCACAATCCCCCCCAATCGCTTTAAATGATCTCTTAAATGGTCACTGGTGGGAAATGTCCCGTGTTCAGAAAGCAATAATCAAATCTTTGGTCAAAAATAACTCGGCTTTCACCAAATGAGCCACGAGACCGAGGATTTCTTCTTTGAATCAACCGTCCCGGACTGACGCTTCTATCTATGATACTGTAACACTGCATCCGTGTATTTTGGCTCATTAAACAAAGATTCTCATTTCTGTTTCCAGACAATATTTTTGCCATCAAGTCATGGACGAAGAAGAAGTTCTCCTTTGACGACAGCCGCATCGATAAAGCCTTTGGGATCCCGGAGGATTTTGACTACATGGACTAAAAGCTTTTTTCACCAGAGCTCATGGTCGCAGTAAGCTGAATAATACGTGTTAAAGCTTCAGTTTGAAGCCAGTGTACCTGGTCTCAGCAGTCATAGTTTATGTTCTGTGTGTTAGAGTGAAAACCAGGCCTTTTTATGGGCTTTGATTAACGACAGATACCGTAATGTTGCCGTGGCAGATGAACTTTATCAGCCGGCATGTTGCTTTGGTGCAACCGGAGAAGAGCAGCACCAAGCATGAGTGGCTGTGAAGGGTGAAGGGCTTCTGTGAGGAACACAACCTAGTAAGCCTGACTTTTGGGACACCTGTTGGCATGAAAACTGAGAGCCCCACTGTGATGATGGAAGGTAATCTACACCTAACACATCTGTGTAGCCAATGGTCTAATTTCAATGGCTCAAACAGATGGTTTGGAATCAAATCCTTGTGCTCTTTTCTTTCTGCCTTTTCTTTTTTCTGGGAGGAAAAAGGAAAAACTGCTTTTTAAGCAACATCCAGTCCTCTTTGTTTACAAAAAGTGATCAGGATAATTAAATTGCACAAGATGTGTTATGTGTAAAAATGCTGTAAATATTTAAAGTACGTTTACGTTTTGCAGAACCTCTTTTATGGTGCCGCAAATAAAATGTCCCCTTTGAGTTGTACAAGCTGTTTTATGCAGTTGTGTTCATTCTAAAACTTATTGTGTTTACAAATGTATTTACACCAGGCCTCCTTTCTTTTGTGCTTTCAAGTCTTTAGAAATGACCACTGAAACATGACCAAATGTGTCACAAAGGCACATTCTTTTCAGAGCTATGCACTGTGGACAAAAAAAGGAAAACTGTTGTCATGACTTGTCGAGAATGACTATTGCGCTGCTTATTTTCCTCCCTTTTTTTTCTCCGTCAAACCAGATCCCAATGCAGAGTGTTTACTCAGTAACCTAGTTGACAAGGCCAGTGTGTCTGGGTTTGTTGATTTACATTTCAAATGTGCTCTTCTCGTCTTACTCACCAGTTAAGGTTGAGTCATGACTTTCTTTTATTTATGATGTTGCCTAGCGCAAGTTCTTTTTTATCTGCAGGCCATCGAAGCATACTGCATGTATATAGTGTTTATAATGCTACCAAATCCATAAGATCGGTTATACATCCGGATAAGGATAATCTACTGATAACATGTGCAGTGTTCTTACATGTTGTTGGAAATGTTCTGGTGACTGGAGCAACAATGATCCAGAAAAAAAACAATTTGAAAATGCCTACCTGCAGTTTTGTTTGCTGCAACTGCCCCACCCACAGGAGAGCAACCCGAGTGTATGTGCATGTGTGTACCTGCCCAACCTGTCCTCACTGATTCATGTGTTTGACATGCCGAATGTTAGAAGCACTCCTAGAGGGTTGTGCATATGTTTTACCTCGCTGTCCCTCACTTAAAGACGACTGTTAATTGAAGCTTTTTGGCTGAACGTGTCTTGGGATCAACAATGCCATCATTAGGCCAAGTAAAGACTTTCACCCAGCCTAAAGTATAGGCCTAAAGGAAAGACGTATGATTATATACCACTGAACTGGTGCATACATATTGCATGCAAGGTATACTCACAGTTCAAGTAAGGTAAATATAGATTCTTACAAAATGATAAGTATATTATAAGTACCAATACAACAATGCAAGAGAAAGTCCTGCATTCAAAACCCTACTTTGGTAAAAGTATTGTCAGCAAACTGTACTTAAAATATCAAAAGTGAAAGTAATAGCAACTAAGTATTTCACACTTCTAGTTACTTTTGACATAAAAAAACATGATATTCTAATATGATAGGAAGCAGTAAAATCAGCTTTTATTGTACTGCATTTCCATGTTTGTATTGCATTTTTTTATGGAGGACTTATACTACTGTAACAAAGTATTTATATACCCTTTATTCTAAGTACAAGTATGTCAAAATTGTACTTGTGGTAGTAGGTAGTAATGCATCATATAATACAGGCATATAATGTGTTTTTGAGTAAATAGTACAGTAAAAGTATAAAGTACAATGAGATGGAAATACTCAAGTAAAGTAAGTACCTCACATTTGAGTGTTCAGTAACTTTCCACCACTGTAGTGTACGTTATACATTACATGTATATCTTTGCATGATGGGGCTTTATTTTGTTTTACCTTCAGTAACAGACACATAGCAGCATTGTTGCAAGTGTCAGTGCTACCTGTCCTCCCTGTCCGATGTGTGTGAGCAGGGAGGGAGTGAGGGAGGGACAGGAGGGAGGGAGCTGCTGCTGGGTGAGAGAAAGAAAGACCAGCACAGCGAAACACAAGGCAGGCTGCAGGCTGAGAGGGCAGCATGGCGGGGCTTCAGGACTTCCACTGTCACAGGAAAACGTGGATCAACATACTACTCGGAATACTGCAATTACTTTTACCCTGCGTACAGCACGGAGGGGCTCAGCTGCAAGGTTCGTGCTTTTGCCTTTTTATTTTCTCTCCGCTTCGGGGGTGTAACGTTAACGCGACCGGAAAAAAAAAAAAAATATGTCTGACTTGACAGTGGCACAAGCTAATTTGTACACATTTTGTATTTTTTAAATGGGGGGAACATGTTAAGAATGCATTTTTTTAAATAGCGACTCGAGGCATATTTATGTTTTTACCAACATGGGAGAGGTAATGTTTTGTCAGCCTGCTAGTTCATGCTAGCTTTCAGTTCCCTCTGCTGTTTGGTTAAACCAAATAATACCTCGTTCAGGAGGAACACTTAACGGGAACACTTCACGGTTCCAGCTGCCTCTGCAGTGAAGCTATACGTTGTTGTGAGCTGGGTGAACTGTGCCGTGTGTGCTGCAGCAGCAGAGATGTTTTCCAAGTTCGTTAGCCACTGAGCTAACCTTCCTGCTAGTGAAGCAGCTAGCACTCAGCCTTTGTGAGCCAAGGCGAAGTCATTTCCTCACTTGTCTGTGTGGTTATCGTCCATTAATTTGTTATAACCCGTAGTAAAAACGGGAGACTGGTAGTTTTCTTTCTTTAAAAAAAATGGTGCATTTGGAAGCGGTTGTTGTGCCCCCCCCCCCCCCCCATGTTGCCCAATTTCCAACCCAACAGCTCATGGAAAATTGTATTTCTTTGCTCCCACAAAGCCCTGAGTCAGATGTCCACCAGCGTGGTCGAGGTCTGGCAAGCGGAGGATGCAGACCCATTAGTCCAACTTCAGGTAATCATAATTCATTTCTTGCTGTTTGTATGGAGGAGGATTTATGTGCCAGATATGTATGGAGCACGTGTGGCTGGTGCATCCCCATTCTGTTTGGCTCCACTTTGCAGCCAGTTGTGCATATTACATTTGTTACATGTGAGGGAAATATCAGTGAACGTACACGACTATTGTGGTTATACTAATGTGAAAATGTTGTAGTTATCGAACTAGTTTATAAGTAAAAAGCAGAACGGGAGGCCACCTGCCATGTGGCTCCTCCTTATTTTCTTTTGTACATGGTGTCCATTGTGCAGTTCTGTCTGTAGTACACACTGAGCGCGTGCTATGAACGAGGAAGTCTTTTAGTACTGCTTTGGAGTTCTTTCCTGCATACTACTTTTAAATTATTTCCAGCTTCTTTAGCCTGCATGTTATGCGTTTCATGCTTTTTGTTATGTGTTTTTTTTAAATTTTATTTAGGATCTGAGTTATTTCCTAAACATGTTCAGGTAGCTAGCTGTGAGTCATGGCGCAAGACAAACACAAACAGTAGGAGTTTCTACTGATAACCTGTCATGACTGTCATGCTACCTGAGGGGGTGTGGCATTGTCTGCAGTCCTCTGTAAACAAACAGCTTGATTGTTAGGTTACTTTGAAAATAAGTAAACAAATATATATAATGATGCATGTTTCACCAAAGTTGGTTTGATCAATAAGTAAAGTATAGTGTGATGAATGGTAGGCTTTTTTAAAAATATATATAAAAGTCAGGTTTGCCTTCCACAAAAATACTTTTGTTATTTCCGTTGCTATGTTTCGCCCAGTTTTTGAAATACTTATTTTGCAATCTGCTCACAGCAGTAATTACCACAGACATGCCCAGACAGAGATAACACGAGGAGTGGATTCACCATCGAAGATCATTCTTATTTGTCGGATTGGTTGAAATGCCAGTGTTTGGACATGTTTTGTTTGTCCCCACTTATTTATACACTGCAGGTCCAATTGATAGATGGCAGAATTTTTGACATTGTTAGGTGTCATGTTTAGATAGGCAGTGGTGAATGGAGTAACTGTCTCAGTTACATGGGCTGTGTGAAATAGAGCATGACATGGGTGTCTTTCATCTGCATCCCAGTGCTGCTGCCGGTCAGTTGGATAAGTAGTGTGCTGTATGTTGCTGCAGGCACACTGAAGTGGTGAGGAAGGAGACAGGTACAAATCCAGATAGCAAATTTGGGCAGCAGAAATCCTAATTGAGCAGATGTCGTGTGCATAACTAACGCTGGTAATTGTTGCCATCTTCATTTCATGCCTCCTACTTGTGTTTTTGATTTGAGGATCATGTGGCTGCAAGTCTAAATATGTGAACTCCAGTCCCCTAGTGATTGTTAGATTACTGTAGTTCAGGTTTTCATGTCTTTCTTCTGCACATTCGATCATCCTGTTTTGTATACAGGCCCCTGTATCGTGTTTCAAATCCCCGCAATGGTTTTTAAAGTCCCTGCAACTAGAATCCAATTAATTTACAAATGGTGCTGCTTTTGAATATTCCTTGTGCTTTTTTTTTTATGGCTCACCTGCGGCAACGGCATATGTTCTGTCATTGTTGTGCTTAATCAGCTGGAAAATCAGTTTTGTCTCGTTCAATTAAGCCATCAGCATACCGAGCTTTTAAGCTGCTGGGGGAAATGCAGGATATGACGCAGGATAACACAAGCATACACCAGTTAGAACCTGTAACTTTTGCCATGTTCTGCACTGGCTTAATTCAACCAATGACATTTAAGAGTTAGTCGCTGCCTTTTGTAGAAACAATCTTGTTTTCAATCAAGGCCCCAGGTTGTTCCTATGGAAACTGTATGTTCTGCATGTGAAGAGACCGAAGCTTATCTCTGCAGACCATGCATGGTGCACATAACTGACTGCACCGTGGGTAACAGTGTTTGCACTGTTGTATTGTAATATTTAGTCACTTACTCGGTAATCCACGCTCAGTAAAAAGCTGTTTGTGTTCATTGGTTGTGGTTTTGATGCAGTATTGCTGGTGGGTGTATTTTGAAATGTTTAAAAAGGACTTCCTCATTTTGCAGACCGGCCTTATTACGAAACTGTGGAGAAGATTTACATCTCATTATCGCACAAATCAGGGTTTGATCCAAGCCACGCACTTGTGGCAATGAATCAGTCAGTTGTCAATAATAGCAATAATGCTGTGGGAGTTCTTGTCCTCACAGCACCATAACCAGCAGACAATTATATCATTAACTAATGAACATACTATATACAGTGCATAAAAAGTACCTAAAAAAACAGGTTTCATATCAACGTTTTCTAGTGCGGTGCAAATTGTAGCCGGAATACCAATTACAGCAAGTTGTTTGTGTAGTCACTGATGTTCAGTCAGGAATCCTCGATGCACAGTGTTGAGATCATGTACAACAAACTGGATGTTTTACTCTGAGACACTCCGCCAACACTGGCAGAAGTCGCTGCTTGCTGTCCAACCCGTGGAGTCCGGATGGAAATGATGAAATGCCCGTTTGAGTTTCCCAAGGCTGTTCCACTTATCTGCTTGGATTCCCTGGTTTATTTACAGTGAAATTATGCAAAATAAAACCTTTTGACTTTTTCAAAAACATAAAATGCAGATGCACAGTGAAGCGTGTCGGAGCAGTTGGTGGTGTTACAATCATCGTAGTAGTCAGAAGGCAGTTTGGCACACCAGTAGACATGCAACCCACAGAGCCTCCTGATGTTCTTCTCTCTAGGCCACAGAGTGAGTGCAGAATAAATAGGGAGCAGTTTGCTGTTTTGAACATATTGACTAAAGAGTATTTTCGTTTCAGGTGGAGAAGGAACGAAGAAAAGACGTTCTTCCGCTGGAAGACAGGTAAGCATATTCTTTTTTTTAAAGTTTCTAACTCTTCTGTGGTGAAAGCATCAAACAGATTCTCTTCTGCGGAGGTTTGTCACACATTTGTAAAGTATTACACATTCATGACAGCAAGCCGAGATGAAAAGGTGTCGTGGAATTTAAACCTCACTTTGCGCGTTCAAATAGTGGTCAGAGAGAAAGCCGCGCGTGCATCAAGCAGTTTCAAAAAGATTATTTAGAGTTGTATGAAGTTAATGAAAGGTTTCCACCTGTTCACGAGCGGCACACGGGATGAGACTTTCCACCAAGCCACATAATTACCAACAAACTCCAAACCAGCAGACGGATTGCATCGTACCGAAGTGTGTTCTCGTGTATAGTGCAGACTACAATTATACTGTAATACACAGAATGAAAGCAGGGCTGTGGCGTGGGCTTGTGTGCTATAGTACAGACAAGAAGTTTTTAATTTCATGTCAACATATTCAACAGACTACAGCTTATAGTAGAGCTCTGGTAAGTGGTTTATTGGATGTGCACAACTGTAGCTGTGGGGTGGCATGTTTCTGTATTCACACAGACAAAGGGAGAGGTGGCGTTTCAGTTTAATGGGACTGAAGGTTTCTAAAAAGGCTTTTAAAAGTCTTCCCCTGTATGCAGGCAATGTTGTGTTGGTGAGTGAGGAGGGAGGGAGGGGGGGGTGACGGAGAGAGTTTTGGGGGCGTGTGTTAGAGAGGCACAGAACCAAATTCCTGACTAAGTTTAGAACTCCTTGAAAGAAAAAGGAGGGTCGGTCTGTCTCTCTCCCCAGCTGTTTTTTGTTCCAGCAGAAAAATTGTTCGGAAAATAGACGTTTGCAGCAAAATAACAAGAATTCATGGTGTTATTTAGTACAAGCTTGCTCAGAAACGGAGCGACCTTTTAAGGCTTGCTTATCCATCATTAAATGTTTTTTTTTTTTTTTTTTGAGGCTCACATATTCTAGCGTTTGTACTTTCTTCTGCTCCTTGTTTATCTTTCTGGAGAAGCGATGCAAGTAATGGAAAGA